CTTCATTCTCGAATCCTCAACAGCGATGCTGAGCCCATGAAAAAATGCAGTTTCTGTAAGTGTACTACAGTAAGGTAGTGTAAACCAACTTCGATGATTTTTTACAATTACATTTTATTTTTTATCAAAAATTGTTGTAAGTTTATTCAAAATAAACCTGCGACTTCTCAAGGTCAAGTGTTCTTATAAAGGGCACCTATGAACAATTAATAAGTGAATGGTGATAAATATTGTTATGAATTCATTATTGTTACCAGGTCGGGACTATAGCAAAGTTTAGCTACGTTTGCATTTTGCAGCTACAGTAGAAGTCTTAGAACAAAGGGTATTGTTTTGGAGTGTTAATTGTATAGAGAAAAACAAGTGACGTACCTAAAAATAAGTTTATTAAATGGGAGAATTCTGTGTCATTGCAAGCACATTATACTGACTCTATTACTCATGAACTCCTCTCCATGGCAACTACTGGAAACATAAATCGAAAACACTGTTGTTCTAATATGGCCAAAAATCCTGCAGCACTGAGAGCATAACTGTTTCTGTCTGGCACGTTGTTTGCTAAAAGGCAGGAAAACACAGAGTAAGACACAGAAGATTACAAGGTGTTTCTAATGATTTACTCTAGAAAGTCATTAAGCGCCAAAACCAAGAATGGACATGACTGACCATCGCTACTGTAGGAAGACCTTGGGCCAGCCTCCACAGGAAGGGACCACAACATAAAAACAGGGGAGACAGAGAGACAGAAGGGAGAAACAGGCTGAGAGAAAAAGAAACATCACCATCCATTACCCCCAAAGCTTGAGCTGTGCAAGAAATCCGTCTTCTGATCGGTCTTGGAGACCAGATTCTGGCTAGGTAATCTGAACATCATTATTGAGAGCATGAGTTTTAATTCATTTTAGGAAATCCTGATTTCCTCTCTTGTGGTTGAAAAATGTTCTCTCCTAGGTTGGTGATGCACTGTTAGAATTGTTAGGGATAATGATTTCCATTCACTTTTGAGCATCTTTGTTGAAAGAAGAGACATTTGGTTCTGAATAGGATCCATTTTTCTTAGAATGCAGAACAGTCTCTTTGGCCTGTTAAGGAGTTTGGTTATGTACTGTATCTGGAATACAGGGGCAGAATTCTGGATTTCCTAGACCCATAGTAATTAGAATTCTAGAACGCATAGATTGTCCATAAAGTGTGAAGTTTTGTATATAATTTTATATTGTTGTGGTATTTTACTGTTTGTTTTCCAAAGAGTAAAAACATTCACCATTTTTTATGTTTGCTGAACATTATGTCCTTATGTTATGTTCTTTCTACTATTTTGTAACACATTTATTTCTTTATCCCTGTAACGTGTTTTCTAGAGCAGCTTGTTGCTCAATTAAAAAATGCAATTCATGCACAAAATGGTACAGACAGTATTCAGTTTCACTTAAATTCAATTAAATTGTGACTGGTCAGAAAATCCTAATGTACAGCTAGTAAATTGATTTTCCTAAGAGTTTATACCTCAGCAATAACAATACATGTAACTATGAGAACTATTGTATTATAGATACAAATATAGTTTGGTTAGCTATATGGCCTCTATACAGTACGGAGATCAATCTAAGATTAAACATTTTACGTTTTGAAACTGCGTTTATAGTAGACTTAAGAGTATAAAATAATATAAAGGCAAAACTAGAGTTCATCTGAATGTACTACAGTTCTTTTCCTGTTGATGTTGACATTTGCTGCTCATCTTCAGGATGTGAATGTCCTATTTTAGGGTCAAGTTTCCATGTAGACACAGATTGATCGACTAAACCCAATTCAGCAGCTATTTTCAGTGTTTCACCATCTAGAATCTGTGAGACATGAAAGTATTATAAAAACAAGCTCACAGGCAACCTACAGTTAAAGTTAATTGTACACAATTTTACTTTCCAAGGGAGAAAATTTCATAACATTACTTGTTAACTTTTTTGTTGTGGGTAAAAACAAAATATTTTGTTCATATAATTAGGAACATCGAGTTTACTTTCTAAGTCAAAGTTTTTGATTCATGAGATTGACTGTGAAAGCCACATACAGTAGGTAGCTTGTCTGATGTTTTACAAAATATTTGACTAAAGAAAACTGATGAAGGTAATAGAACTTTGTAAAGAGAGAAGAAACAGGTTTATTCCATGCTGAAAAGACAAGGGAAAACACAACGTTTCGGCTGTGAAGCCTTCTTCTTCCCTCACGCCTGACGAAGGCTTCACAGTCGAAATGCTGCGTTTTCTCTCGTCTTTTCAGCATGGAATAAACCTATTACTTGTTCCTTTGCAGACTACGCATGCTGACGCAGCTACCCACCTGAACTACTTTGTAAAGAGAGTAAGAGTTTTTATCCTATTTATTAATGAATAATAAATTTCCTATATTAATTGCATAGTATAATTATTACTGTAATCGTTATACATTTTCCGCTTTATTAGCCTAGCAGTTGCTGTTATCCATTGTAACTTAGACATGCAAAACTAAATCATAGCTTTCAGGAGATACAAGCTCCAAAAAGTGTTAAATAAATGAAGATTTAATCTCTTTGCTTGAAGGATGACAGGCTGGCAATGTGGACATGGTAGTTAGATCTCCACTATAAACCAAGCCAAAGGGCTTCCTGCATCGAGGGTGATAGTGGGATTGGTGGATGGCCATACTTGCTGGCACACTGCCACATGAACAAAAGATGTTGTGAACAAAAGATGAATTTGAGATAAAATTATTGTCAGGAGCTGGGGGCTGTCTTTATCCTGAATATACTGTATGTAATGGACTCCAGTTAAGGAGATACAGACAAAACCCAACAAGTAAATGAATGAAAAATTAGGGCATCTGCCACACAGAGATGTACAGTACTGTACATAACTGAATAGCGTTAGGCTGGCCAGGTGTAGTTTTCTTTCTTTTGCAAAGCGATAAATCATTTTTTGTGGTATGTGTGCTGGTCCTGTATTGTAATAACCATAATACACTGAGTAAAACTAATGCGCAGTTTATATAACCTCTTCCCTCTTTCCCACATGGTTAAGGAGAAGTGCTTTGTCAAATGTAAGGAGAAGACCTTGCATCTACTGTACAATTCCGCTTTCTTCACGCAACTAGGTGCATGTAGCTGTAGATGCATGGTTCTCAGTGCAAGTTTACCTTAGATGGTTTCTCTTTTTTCCCAGCACCGTGTTTTGTGTGAGCATCCTCACTCTTCTTCCTGTGAAAATACTGCTAGCTGCAAGTCAAACTTCATGCTGTTTGGAGTGTTTTTAGTTTTAGACTAACACGTACTTTATATTGAGAGCCCTTAGCTCTCCCTAGATTATGTTGAATTATATTACTATCTCATCAACATTTCATTAACTTTCAAGGTTAATGAAACCAGGTGTTACTCCAGATCACTTTCAGAAATGTTCTGTTATGCTTTTGGGACAATAATAAGCCTAATCCCCTTATATAACGGTTCTATGAAAAATTCCAAACTACTCAGTAATAAAAATAATACACTATTGATCTACAGTGAGAATGGGTGCGTATTATAAATTCTGTTTCCTGTTATGATCTCAAAAATGTACAACTCACAGAAGAAATCAGAAGGTGAAAGACATTTATGCTCCAAGCCACTTTTTTAGATTAGACTACGAAGAACATGAAGGGCACTACAAAGGTAAAAGGGAGGACCGACTCTTACTATGAAGAATAAGGCTTTCTTTCAATTTGGATGGGATATCGGCCACAGGCAAATTTCTGATTGCAATTTGAAAGGAGAGCTTTATTATAAATTATTTAAAACTAATCAAACATTGTGAGGTACTTTGGCAAACAAATGTTAAGCACAGAAATGAAACTCTGGTGCCAGATGTTGGAGTCCAAAAGTAAAGGCAGCTGGCCTCGTGTTTTGCCCTGCCATTTTGGTGAGGGCAGATATACAATCAATTAAGCCATCATGGAGCAATATGTCAGATCTAGATATTATGCTTTTAAATATTGAAGCATTGTGTAGAACTATAAAATTGGGGAATGCACTGCATACAAAAGACACATTACTTCTCAAAAAACATTGTATTATCAAAAGACTGTGCCATCGCCCCGTGCCATGCACTGCTCTGCAGAAGTCTTAGACATCCTGGGCATAATCCGAAATTTTAATACATGCATGTAATGAGCAGATCCTTACTGGTTATGGAGTCAGGAGGCACTATGTCTGCTCCATGTCGGAAAGCTTAAACCAGAAGCCACAGTATAACCCCTGTATGGCCTAATTTACTGTATGTGACAAAATTCCAAAGCAGGTTTTGTGTTACTGAAGCATTAAAAATTGAACAATCCTTAATCATGCGAGAACATGTTCATGTCCTGCAGTGCTTGCCAGGTGGGAAGACAGAATGATTTAGAGTTTGACGTCTGGTAAGAGCATTGATGTCTTGATGAACTTGTGCTTGGAGCCACTGGTCATCCAATCCAATCAACTGAGTAGGGTTCTTTTCAGTGGTTATTTAGAGTTTATCTGAATTTTGCTGACTGATTTCAATGGGCAAGTTGTTGAAACTACTTAAGCTGGTTCATAAAACCACAGGCAGCAATGGAAGATGGTACCATTGAGTGGCAGGATGGCTGTCAGGATGAAAGGTGAAGGATACCAGGCTGTGAGCAGGAATGGGCATAATGCTGGGAAGCCACTGGAGAGTAAGGAGAGTGGCACGCTAACAGACTGGTGAGCACAGAAACACTCAAGTCTGAATGTGGGAAAGGAAAGTCTGTATTTATCCTGTACGGAGCAGATGTGTGGTTGAAACTGAGGTCTGTCCTCTTCCCAAACATTTTGTATGAAGTAAATTGTTCTTACTTTTTAATTGGAGTCTTTTTTAACTCCAATTAATGCGTCAAAGCTCCGTTTTACAAGTAAATCATACATGACCGTTTTTTATTTCTTTAAAACCTTACATTGAGATACCCGTAGCTGCTGCTACATAAAGTAGCCTTACCAGGAGGTTGGCTCCTGTTGACGAGACACACATGTTGTATCCGGGCGTACTGAGGGTCACCAAGGGCTCGGTGAATCTTTCCGTCTCAGCTTTCGTTTTCACCGACGGAATCGCTGGCAGAGACGGGGTCCTGGCTATCGAGTTGGCGTCTGTTCCGTTACCAAATGCTTGGATGGCATTTTCTGAAGGGACGAGGAGACTATGTTAGCAAGTGACATGTGAAGAATGAACATAGAAAATTTGACTCTCGAGAGTCAACATTTTGACTTCCTTTCTTGCCTTTCATGACATGTGCGACAGCCTGTATAATGTACTGTATTTACTTGATTTCTGTCTGATTATTACATTTAGTTAAAGCAGTGTCAACCTCTAGTGGTTGGAGAGGGTGGTTTTTTTTATGTGTGGTACCTTAGTTGTTTTGTTCCAAACTCTGTTTTAGCTGTTCTTGACAGAAGGAAGTTGATGTAACACACATGTCAACACAGACCTGAAGCAAATTGTAGTAAGCCATGAGAGCATTCTGTTACTGTCCTGCTGGTACTAGCCATCAATCTGGAAACACCAGCTATGTGCTACATGCTTCCTGTCTTATTAGGATCACCATTGCAGAACATGTGTTCACTTATTTGAGATGCACATTTTGCTTGATTTCTTTCTCCCTGCCTTGGGTCCATGAGCAATCAAATCACAGCAAATGATTTTCTCCAAAATGAAAATATAATTAATCTTTCATCTAAACAAGGTTAAAAAATACAGCTGCATCCGGTGAGATACAGGTTAATGGAATATCAATCGTTTTTTATGATTCAAATGCCTTCGTAATGAGGCATTATTGAAGGAATATTGGAGAGTGACAGACCTTAATGTGGTGAGTAATTAGTTTCTTTCTCTTATTGTTCTTCAGTTTGGTTCAAATGCATCAGCAATGCGATTATTAGACTATAAATCAACTTTTCATGTATTTTGTTGTAGGGAATATTGTAAAATAAACATGGCTTAATGCTTAATGCCATTTACATTAATTGTTATATTATAGTTATGTTGTATATTAAGAACTACCTGCAAAGAAGTCAGTTATTATTTGCTAATACAAATGATGTGTAAGCAAGTAATAACTGACTTAATAATTTATATACAGGTTTGATTTTAATCATTATGAAATGCAAATATTGTAGATTCTGTTTTTTTGGTTAGAAAAGCCCATCAAAAGGTCAATAACGGAAGCTAGACTTGGATAAATTATACATTACACGATTTTCATTTTATAATTCACTGTATACTTATATAATGACAGCAATAACATCAAATGTTAACTAAACAGATTCTTATTATTTTTTATCTTGTGTCTTTGCTCACACTGGGATGTAATATAAAATTACACAGCTTGCAGCTACAGTATATGTAAATACTACAGATAAGGCCCCCATAGACTTGCAGCCTATTAAAAGTAAAAAACAAGGGAACGGTAGCGATCAGCATTTCTGCTGAAAAAGCCTTTCAGCCTGGTCACTCACTTATTGACAACAGAGCAGCACCTGGTAGATATTTATGGTTTACATCCCCAGAGCATATTTTGTTCTCCAGCCCATGATGCCATTAGCACGAAAAGAAGAAGTGCTCTCTACTTGCTTTTAAAAATGAAAATTAATAAATGCACAAGGTCAACATAACATGCAAGACAGTGAAAGATACCACTATAAAAATACTGGAATGGACATTTTCCAGCAGACTAAAACTCTGATAAAGCATTGTCTGGGAAACAGAGCTGTGGGCTAACTCTTGTATTATATTACACATTTGGATGTGGCAAAATAAAAATGTGCAGTTCATTTGCATCTGCAGGGTAGTTTACATCAAATCTGCCACTTCAGAATATTTACTAATGACAGGAGTCTATGGGGCCTCTCTGGTTCCAGAATCTCATTTAGCCTTTTCTTGAAAGCCAGGATATTGGTTTTAACAACATGGCTGAGTAACTTGTTCCACATTCCCACCACCATAAGTTTTTAAACTATCGGACACCTAACATATTAGACCTTTGGAAGCTGTGTGAAGATTCAGTGGGTTATACAGATTGTAGAACTGTAGCTGATCACTTAGTAAGTTCCAAAACCTGTTGGTGTAGAGAGCCAGTTAATTCCTTAAACTCAACCTCCTCTTTGAAAGTAAAATGTCATTTGCAGTTTATTATTTTAATTCACTGCTAATTAAAATACCAGAACGTCAGAAAGGTAACAGAGGAGGTCAAACTCTCAAAAGCGTCATCATTCCCTCTGGCTTGATATTTTGGTACGTACCAGATCCTGGAAAGAAGCCCAAAACTACAAAACCACCATGAGACCCTCCCCCACTGGAAAGGGACAATTTAAAGTAGCCGATAAAACTGCACCTATCCTTGGAAAGTCGAGAAGAACTGTGGAATCCAGTGAAGATCCACACACATAGGAAGAACATGCAAACTCCACACAGACAGCTACCCCATGCTGGAAATAAAAGCAGGATCCTTATGCTGGGAGGCTGTATTACTAACAACTCTGCCACTGTATTGCCCTGAACATGAGGCTCTTGCTGATTTATAATTTAATGAGTACTATAAATGCACACACACAAACATATATATATATGAAAGACAAAGCTATTATAATTCTTATTATTTTTCAATACAACTTGGTATCTTACAGTTGCGGCTGAGGCCGTAAATTGTCCATAGTGCCAGCAGACAGGAGTTCATAAATAATAATAATATAGCTTTCACTGGGGTCTGCTGTAATTTGTCTTACACATGCAGCAACAAAAACTGAAATATCATATTCTAATTGCTCTAAAACACCTTAGGAATGATGGAAAATGTATAGACCACTGGATTTTTATAGTGCTACTGTCGCTCTTCATTCTCTTGCAGAACAATCCCCCAAAAGAGCCAATTTCTATAGCAGTACACAACATGGCATGTTTTCAGTGCAGAATAAAACTTGATGTCATGCTCAGCACTAAGTGCAAAATACAATTTTTTAATCTGAATCACCCTTGCGTGATTCCTAAACGTAATGGAATAAAGTGAAATTGCTCCTTTGTCCCACACGCTCCTGCATTATTCTTCAAGAGAACACTTACTTAGACAGGTGTTTTCCGTGAAATCCTTCAGGAATTTCTCACACTCGTCCTCCATGTTCCCACTACTGCGGCAGGTGCACCAGGGAGAGATGGTGATGTCGGTATAGCTCGCGTCAACGTAGTTTGGGGTCATATCAGATCCTGCCATGAACACACAGACACACGGCACTCACAATTCAGACACTGCACAGTAATGAAAGTGCAGTGTTTACCACTGACTGATTCTGTCTCAGTTGAGTGCTCATGCAGTGGATGGTCTCCTGCATGCTTCTGAAGCTGTGAGTGAACCTCTGTCTTTATTGTTGCTTGTGTATAAAGAACCTGACCCTGGGTTTGAGCTTAATTACCATTTTCTTTCTTTAAAGGAACTTGATGCAGACTTCTTCACCCAAAGATTTGTGTGACTATGGAATAAGAAACCAGGTTGTTGAAGCCAGTACCCAAATCCTTAACTACAGTACAAACTTCCAATCAGGTTAGATGCACAGAATAGCCTCTTATGTTTGTATGTTCTTATGAACATGAAGCTTGATCCTTCCCCTACATCTGACGAACAAGCTTTACAACTGTTTTTCTCATTTTGTCACATATGTAGTTTGTACAGGGTTCGCCACATTTGTCTTTAAAATCCGGCATTCTGAAATCTTGTGAAAGTGTTTCCTATTATAAATAAATAAAAGAATGTAGATTTGCATTATTTTATGTATTTACAATAGATAAAATAATCTATTTAAACCCCTAAAAATAGGGGTTTAAGAGTTGCACCATGTTGCAGCCTCTACTGGTTCTGTTGTACCATGGTGTGGAATTGTAACTGGAACACGTTTGAGCTTTAATTTGTTTAATACCGAAACAGCTGAGCAGCACAAAGATAACCTGATGGAAGAAAAGCTGTAATATATTCAAAGTACCACGATGCTCAGAAAGAGGTGTAGGGGAGTGATGGAGAAATGGAATTCTCGGATTGCTGGGTAGAGAGGTAGGGAAAGCAGTGACTCGTAATGATGTAAGGTACTCACCAATGAGTCCGGCATAGGAAGCAAGACATGCCTGGCAGTTGTCATTGGGACAGCTGGTAATGGAATGTGGAGTTACCCGGCAGTTTGCGTGAAAATCGGCCAGTCGTGATCTGGGCACAAACAGAGAGACCACCATCAGATTTGCACGGCTGGTGTGTTGTTTCTTTAATCTGACACTTTAGAAAACAAAATAATAATAAAGGGGTATACCGCGTGTCCCTTTACAATTTTGAATTTGTTTTATTTTATATGCATTTATTTCATCCTACCGTTACCTTCTCTACTTGAATATCTGATTAGCAATTTTTGCAATGAAAGACTGTCAGTTTTCATTATAAGTAAAGTACATGATACTGCATATTATGTCGAAATTATCATTCCTTAAAATAAAAAATTGAATTAAATTTGGACCTTTTTCACACTGCAGAATCCTGATTTCCATCTAACCTGAGACTCTGAAAGAAGTGAGAAATACTAATGTTCAGACTCCTGCATGGCTCACACCCAGGTGCTTAATCAAAAACTAAGAAATCCCTGATTTTTGCCTATTTGTCAAGCAGCCAGTGAGAACTATACCAGCTCTCTTTGCTTACTGTGTACTGGGTGCAGTACAGAACGATTCCCACAGCAAGGCTTTTTCTCACGTCTTACAGAGAAGTCAGAGCACTGGTGTTTACTTCAGGTACACCAAACATCCTTATCTGAACAGCACTCAGGGCTTATGTTTTTACAGAGTATTAAGAAATAAAAAATCTGAAAGTCTAAACTGCAATTTTACCAGTTTAGATGAAAAGACAGCCCTGCTTTTATTTAGCGGGATATTTTTTGACCACAAGCAGTCACGTCTTCAGTGTTATCCCATACATAGCCCTTCCTTCAGCAGTGTCTCTTGTACTGGGAACTGGTTTGGATTTTGTGGTCTAGAGGGAAGTCATATTTAAGAGTTCACCAGCACTGCTTCCAGCAGCAATCTGTTTTTCCTTCCAAGTCCCCCATCCAGTACAGAGTCAATATACATGTAGCCTTACTGAGCATCTGAAACATTATAGATTATACAGGTGGTGCACACTCAGTACAGTTTTATACTTATAATGCAAATAATCACTTAAAAGCATCAGAGCAAATCCTTAGCACATTTCAGCTTGGTGGCAAAAGTTAAAGATTATGGACACAACGTCTTTCTTTCATGTTATGGCAGGAATAAAGACAGGCAATAAATCCTTCCCCAATTTATCTCTCAGAGACAGCTTCTTTTCTAACAGAACTGAATGCCTAAACTGAATAAAGAGCCATATGTTCCTAACCCTGAATATCTGAGGTTAGAGCCAGTATGTTTATTAATCAGTATAACACCATGCTTTCATGTAAGCCTTTGCAAACACCTCTGCAGTCTTCACATACAGATCTATGTTTCAGGCTCCTAGAATAACCTCCATTTTGCCCCTGTGATATGGGCAGAGGAAAGAGGTCATTTAGCCCTTTGTCCTAGCAGATCATCCATTAGTGTGTATTTAATCCAGTCTGCTTGAAATGGGAGGTACAGTTCCCCAGCTAACTTCTATTATACAGTATAATAGCATGAGAGACTTAATTATATGAAAATGGGATGGCTAACCACTTGTGCTTCTCGTGTGAGGGAATGATGAAAGTTGTTTTCACCTTAGCTATGCTGCAAGCAGTAATTTTGATGTGTCAGAATAATTAGAGTTGTACATATTGTTTCTGTGCACACTGCATTGAACATGGCAAGCCTGGCTTTATTTGGGTGATAAAAGCACACAAGAACATCATTTTACATTCCACCGAGAGCTTTTTAGTTTTTCAAACCTGATACAGAACTAGTGTGTTACAGAACGTAAAAGGATAAAAGTAACACATTTCCAGAAAATTCCATAATTTAAACTCAAACACAAACCTAAAAAACTTGTCTTTTCCACACAGGGTGCACTGCTCTTTCCCTTTGGGAGGTTCATTTTTCCATTCTGTTTGGATCTGCTTTGGTAGTCTTTTCTTTTGTGATGACAAATAAACAGAAAGCCTTTTGTCATCACAAAAGAATGTGTTACTTACTGCCAACTAAAATGTGTTAGTTATAAAAGCTCAACTCTTTTTCCAGTCTTTAGGCAATTTAACCATGTATTATTTTTTAATTAATTAAACCATATAAACATATGCTTCAGTGCTGCTATAGTACAAAGCAACCATGCAGAACTAATGTTTCAATATTTTGCTATCATAAATTTAATAGCAAACCTTTAGCTAAAAAGGTACTGTAGGTAATTACAACCCAAATGCACTAATTGTGACAGCACATCTTGGATGATTACTCTAATCCTTTAGAAAGGAACTAGAATTGCAATGATGAGTCCTGAATGCTCTGTTTACATGATCTACTAGATTAAATGCCCAAGACAAATTTATGAAATAATTTAGCTTTGACTTTTGAAATGAAAAACAGTATTTTTAAAATAGATAACAACATATCAGTGCTTTGAACATATTTTCTTTTACATTATTTCTAAATCTTCAAAAATTTCACCTGTAGCAGGGCCATCAATGTCCTTCATTATTAGAGAATTAATTTTTAAGTGGCCAATAGCTGATTACTTAATCTTTTTGGATTCACTGAACTCTCCTACCTCGCAACTGGAAATTTCAAACGGAATTGTATGAAAGTTGCTTCATTCTAATTTACCCTGTCCTCCATGTCAAAGATCATTGTATGCCCTGAGATCACAACACACAGATCGCCTGGCGCTCTGTTTCTCCAGAAGGCAGAGTAAGGCACTGTACAGTATATGCCTGGGAGGTCAGATCTTTTGAAGAGAATGTGGTGGAACTGTAGTGCCAGGGATGTCCATGCATTTAGAATTACTCAGGATTTTGCATAAGAAAGAGAACTGACAGCACTGTGGCTTTCTGAAGTTTACATGAAAGGGACTCAGGTTCTTAAAGGTTACTCTTTCGGGGATATCAGCACTGTGAATTATCATTGAAGTGAAAATACATTCCTTAGGTGTCTTTATTACACTCTTTTCTTGCTGCATATCAAATGCTCTTATTGTAACATGAACAATTTATAGTTCATAGGATTCCAAAATAGGAGGGTTAGTCAACAGTGAAGAAGTTGTAAAGGAAGTTTATAGTAGCTGGAATTCATGACTAGACAAACCCCTGGCTGAGCACATTTCACACAAACCAGTATAGAAAATAACAATTAATATCAATATTAACCAATATTGATATCAATATTAACTACAGATGTAGGTCTCTATGTTGATACACAATTTTTATATTTAACAGTGGGTAATGAAGAATGTAAGGTATATAGTAATACAGAAGTAAGACCTCATTTAGAGTATTGTGTATAACCTTGGTCACTATGTTACAGAATAGATGTTGCAGCTCTGGAATCAATCCAGAGAAGAGCAACCAGATATATTCCTGAGCTCAAACATTCCTTACTCCTAGCCTACACTAGGTTAGGTCTTAAGACATTAATTAAATCATTTTAGCCTTGAGCAGAGTAGGCTACAAGGAGATCTGGTCCAAATACTGTATATTCTAAAATCTCAGCATTTTCAAAGTCGACTCCATGGATGTTTTCAGACACCAGTGTGAAACATGAACCAGAGGACACACCTGGAAACTACGTGGAAGAGAAAGTGCATTTAAAATGGAGATTATCTATTAAGCCAGTACCCTGAAGACTCAAGAAAAATAGGACAGAGACCCACAGATAAATTATCTATGAGCAACCAAACAAGATAATGAGTCATATGAATTAATCTCATTTGCATCCTATCTCATGTAAACAGTTAGGCAATGGCACAAATACATTTGTTCAAAATGTTATCATTATGATTTGAAATCATTCCTTTTTCTGCGTATCTGCATATGTTTCAAGCTACAGATAGAAAACAACTGAACTCAAACTTTCTGTTTCATAAGAAGCTGTACCACATTTATTTGGCTAAAACACTGACTGATCAACAAAAGAAAAGCTTCAACCAGAACTAGTTCTGGACACAAAAAGCCTCTTGGAAGAAACTGGTAATCAAGGAGGAATGTGGTATTAACACTGATTAAACTGATAATGCAAATCACCATATGGTCCTGGGAATGAGCTGGCAGATGCTCACAAAATCACCAAAGGTATCCCTGTTGTCAGTGACCTACACTGTACAGTACATGTCTGAGGATCAAAACAATAGTCAACTACAAGATAGTATAGCAGATAATTTTTTACAGGCAAGAATTCCCAAACTTGCTCCAAAGGAGAAACGTTCTAGACTTGTTAAAGGAAACAATTAAACAACCTGTTTCTAAAGACATGGAACAATAGTTACTCAATTCAAAGGGTGATTTATTTAAACAGGGATCATTTGGAACATATCTCTTCAGTCCTCAGTAATCAGAGTTCCCTAAACTGAAAAGATTTAATCAGTACTTTATAACCCCTGACAATGAGAAATTCAAACTCAAGTTATAATGGAGGTTTGTTAATTCTATCAAATGACAGAATGCAATTCTATCACATCCTGGGTGTGTTGGTTTTGAGTGAAAGGGGGCAGAATTTTATTTAATTTGAGCCACAGCAGCTGTGTAATACCAATGTTTATTTGATACAACAAATGCTTACACTGTCTTCAATTTACTGTTACTCCATGGAACACAGGCTGAAAAAATATAGAATAGTTAACTGTTTCTGGTATTTTCCACTTGGGTATAATACTTTAGAGAATACATACAATACCATCCACAAGTCAAAAGGATTTCTTCTTTTGCTTGAGTGTACTGTTAAAATCTAAAAGACTCAGAAGAACAACTCCAGTACCAACTGTTTAAATATTGGGTTTCCTGCTGTGCTTGTATTATCATAGTCACTTCAGAATTGCATTCCCAGCAGAATTCAAGGTAAATCTTTTGCAATTATAGTGTGCTACCACCTACAGTAGTTACAGCTTGCTACAGTTTGTGTTAGTCCATGATAAATTAAGTAAAGTCCAGCTGATATTTTATTTATTTTTTGCATTTTCACTTTATATCGCAAGGAGAGGAGCACATATGTACTGTATATGTGTATAAATACAATTTGCAGGTCATCCAG